AGCCATCCTCACTTTGACTATCAGTATGGTAGTAAATATCAGAGACACAAAGTCAGGCTAGCAATTACACTGGTGTGATCCAAAGCCACTGGGCGAAGATTGAGCCACGACAAGAGAAGGGATGGGTTGGTCCTCTATGTTAAAGTTCAGTGTTAAAATACAATGATATCTAGATGTGGTAAAGGGAAGGTCCCACAATTCAGCCTGTCTCTTTAGGATGAAGGAATAGATGGATCCCCTACCCTTGCATCTCTACAGGGAAGTCTGGCCAGTATTCCCTAGCACTGTGGTCCACCATGGAAGCTGGCCATGTCCTTTCCTTTCCAGATGCACAAAGGGAAGCAATGGGACTATTTTAAGGATGAGTGTCTTCCAGAAAACATTGCTATTCCATAAGGTCCTGTGTACAATTTTATCCTGGGGGCCCCACAATTTTGGCTGTATCATCAGATTTTTCCCAAAGGAGAAGATATGGTGAGTGACCTGATGCTAGAAGGACTCAAACCTATGAAAACCCAATTACTAACAGGCTTTATTAGAAGGTACCATGTCCGGAACAAGTTTTCTATTTCTTAGGAGTAAACTGGCAATAAACAAGGGCAGGAACCCTCTGCAACAAAGAAGCTCTTAACCCTTTCTGTGTGGCAGTCAATGCTTCTCAGCTCACCTAGCACCGTGGCAGGAAAAGGCCCTAGCAGTGTGACTAGGGGAAGGCTGGAAAAGCCAAACAGTTGAAGAACACTGGAAACTGAAGCAAAATGTAGCAAGCTGGAAGCAGGAACATCTGACTGAAAAATCTAAGCCACTCCTCAAAAAAAGTCCTTTCACCATTCCTAGCAGCCCTAACTTCCGAAGTACATAGGGGAGAAAAACTGCTGGCTCACTCTTCCTTCACCAAGGAATCTCAGGTCCCAGCAGCTGCTGTCCCTTGGCTCACAGCCATACTGTAGAAGAGCCACTAGGAACAGAACAAAGTACAACTCATTTTGACTTTTGTTCACTTGTAATAAGGATCAGAGGTGTCTCAAGGTAAATTTGGTGCTTTTAAATAGACTCTTACTCTGGGAGGTGACATCAAACTCATCCCCTGAAGCAGTTATGATACAGCTGAAATTAAGGTCAGTACATGTAACATAATGGTTGAAGGCATGAAGGCAAGAGCAAAAGAGCCAGAGAAGGCAATTCCTTGTCAAGTGCTGAAAACACAGAATGGCCTTTTCCATTTCCAGCAAATCTCCCATGTTCTAGGTACTAATTTTGGATATGCAATAAGCAAAAAAGCAATTAACACATTCACCCCTAGATGGCTGAGCCCACAGTGCCAGTCCCAAATTGTGTTCTGTGGGATCTCAGGGCCACATGGAGATCAGGGTTTAGTCAGGATGGTACAAGCACAGGGTTTCACTGCAAAAGAGAAACAGCTATTCTGGAAAACTCCATAGCTACTTTCATAGATTCTTTTAGGCAGCCTGACCCAGACTGCAAAAATGATTGTTTACTTTTGGTTTTGGTGGTAGGTCCTAAGAAAACCTCAAGTAGCGTGAAGCTTGCTAAAATTCTACATGCAGGTTAGGGACCTAAATGCCAAGCTGCAGCACATACAAGCTAAAGCCACAAGCACACGAGGGGCTGGCATGTGCTATGGTCAGATGTCCTAAGGAGCATACTCACATAGGATGAAGACGTTTCCCCACCTCAGATCCTGACGCATAGTAACCCTGGCCTGGGAGGAAGGGAAGGGCTATAACCTTGAAATCTTGCAAGCAGGGATAGCTCAGAAAGGAAGATGATTGGGCTCTAAAGGAAAAGCAGAAGGGAGAGGCTGGCAAAGAGCTTGAGACTTGGACACCAGCAAGAAAATCCAGTTAGCACAAAGCAAGGAAGCTATACACATACAGCCACACATAGGCAGAAGCAGGGATTTATCTCTAAGCAAAAGATTTATCTGAAGTAAAGGCAAGTGGAAGTCAGCAAAGCAAAGGCCAAGGATCCCTCTTTCCAACCTTAACAGACTTTCAATCTGAATTCTAAACCAGAGATCACTCTGGTCATCAGCGTTGATGGGAATGGTACTAAAATTCAAGCACCAGAAATGGGTCTTATTGAGAGATAGATGTCACCTTATTATTGTATCAGACCTCACCACTCCTGGAACAAAATGCCACATGACACTATACAATGGACTTTTGTAATGAGGCTGGACTCCCCGGATGGCCCTCCATGGAGAAGTCTGTGCCATCCCTTAATATGGTGACAGTCAGTCCGAAAGGCCATATCTTTGATGCACCATAAAGAGCAAGAGCATGAGACAAGCTAGTTTAGCACCATTTATTAAGTGATCTAAGCTGATGTTGTAGCTGCTGTGTGTCAGCCTGTTATTAAAACATAAAATGCTCTTCCAATTCCTCTTGTCCAGGACAGAAGGATCTTCCAGGTAGCACGCCAACAGAACAAGAGACTCCGATGACGCCAGCTTCAATGATGGTGCCATCCAGAGAGGGAGAGGGTCATGGCACATTCAACCGCGGCTTCCAGAGGTTTTGAAAAAGGAGCCTTTGGGGGCCCAGCCTGCCTGGCATTCTAAGTGGAAGTGCAAAAGGTTGGCTCATTGGGAGAGGAAAGAAAGGGGGACGCAAGGGAAAGTAGCATCTGGTTCTCAAGGAGGGTTTTGTGGTATCTACAGCTGCAAGGCTGGAGTGCCAGAGTCAGACCTCTGGGTAAAGCAGCGAGCAGCAGGACAGTTTTTCTAGCAGTCTAAGACAAAAAGTCCACAAGCTCTCCTAGACTGTAAGGACTTGTACACGTTTCTACAAAAGTCAGAAGAACTGCTTCAGGGTATTAGAAATGGAGAACAGCAAAGGGGAGAGTTGATGAAAAACACCTCTTTCCCTTTCCTATCCAGGTGAACAGCTTGCTTTCAGGGTGGGGGTGGGGGGAACATTTGGGAACTCTGAAAACAAGAGTCCTAGAATAAAGTATAGATCTCTCCAGCATGGACTAAAGGTGGTTAGAGGGCAGAAACTACTTCTAACCCAGAACAGAGATTATGGAAAATTTGCCTAGAGAAAAATGACACTAACACAGGACTTCTAAGGCAAGCAATAAGGCCACGGCTGGTTAATACCTGCTGATGGCTATGATGAGTCATATCTAGCCCTGTGATTATGGACCAACTCCTGTGGCAGTGTTCCCAGTTAAAAACTGGCACTTACATTGATTTAAGCCCACTCCACCCACAACATTAACTGTGCAAACATGGGAAAGACACTCCCCAATGGCCTGCCTGCTGAACACAACCATTGGGCTCACTACTAGTCTTTACTAAGAATAACACAATGATGACATCATTACTAATGATGATGACAACAGCAATAACACTACATGGCCCTGTCAGAGCATGCTCCATCTGAGGATCCTCAGTCACAAAGATTAAATCAACCTTATGACAGTCTTATTAGGTGAAGTATTACTGTCCCTTGTTTCACAGGTGGGAAAACTGAAGCAAAGTTGCAAAGAGAGTTTCAAAGGCACATACTAATATGGGGCCATAGGAGAGAACTAAATTTAAAAGTCTTGACTCCTGGTTGGCTAACTCTCTCTTGGTTTTGAGACAATAGAACAGCTATTCCTCACACTTTTTCACAATAACCTGAGCATATTTCTGACACTCAATCACTAAAGGAGCAAGCCTAATCAGTGATTTTCCCTGTGTACAGAGAGCTCCATTTTCCAGAGTCCTAGGGAGATCACAAAACATGTGTTCCCTGCAGCCTTCCTGCTTGCCTTCCCTTCTACTCTCTCACACATACTATCCTGCTTCCTCTATGACTTCAGTTGTAGGCACAAGGAAATGGAGTCATTCCTGATAAGTAGTCAATTTCCCAGGACAAAGGAAACAGACTGAAGCTAACAGATTAAATAGACAGGCAAAGGTAGGGTCAGGGGTGGGAAGGGAAAAGGACTTAATTATTTAGTGAAATTTTCTTAAAAAAAAAAAAAAAGTAGCAAGAAAAAGAAAGGCACTTTGTCTTTCTCTTTAAGACAGTGGTTAGCATATGAAAGACAAGATAGACTGTAGAAATTAAGCAAGCCCAGGCAATGCAGCGGGGTTCTGCAGAAGGGCTCTCTCTACTACAAAGCACCTGGCAATGTAGGTAGGTGGGCAGGGAGCCTCATGACAGAAAACTGCAGCAAGTGGCTAGAAGTCCTAGAGGGAAAGCCTGGTCTGTCCCTTCTCCACAAGTTAGTCTCTTGTGCAGCCATATTCCTCTAGGGCCATCTATGGATTTCCTTCTGCTAAGCTTAGGGACATGTCCCCCCAACACTCCCCAACACGTACTTGATGCTGTCGGTGTGAGTTTTGTATTCCATAATGGTGTTGGGAGGTAGGTTAAGCACTCGCCGAAGCGTATCCCGGATTCGGGCTGTGGTTGCTTGGTCGCTGGCAGTCTTATTCCATATTGAAAT